TTTTATACAGGAAACATCCTAAATCTAAGGGCTTCATGAAGTTCCGTGGGGATATTACAGCATATCTATACAAAATCACTAATTATAAATCCAAAGTATTCTGTTACCCACCTCCGCCCGTGAGGATGCTACAAACAAAGAGCATGAGTCAGGATAAGGAAAAATATGTAATTTTAGAGTAAAATTGATATTTTATACTTATCCTGACTCATGAGGTTAGCCTCCCATCCTCCCCACATAACACTTTGGATTTCCCCTGTAAATTCAAGTGTTGGGCTCGCTAAATCAGGAGAGAGGGAGCACATGGCCAGAGGGTGGCTGACACCTTTTCCGCCAGGGGAGACAAAGGGGAGCAACTCGTGGTGAGTACCAATTAGTGATTTTATTTTGAAGGGAGCTTCAAATAAGGAGATACAAGTGTTCCACTATGTTCGCAAGAAGAAGAAGACAAGCAAAAGAGCATGAGTCAGGATAAGTATAAAATATCAATTTTACTCTAAAATTATATTTTTTATCCCACCCGCATATAATCGCGGTGGGATATAGTCATCGCCTCGTTCGTTCGTCCGTCTGTCCGTCCGTCCGTCAGGTCCGTCCGTCCCGTCCGATCTCATCTCGTCAGATCCGTTCATCCGGTCCGTCCAGAATCATTTTGTTTCCGACCATAACTCAAAGACCGCTTTGATATTTTTAACCAAAAATTGGTAGATATGTCAAACATAACCTAAGGTGGTGCCTTTTGCTATTTACAGATAATTGTCATTTTTATTTTTCTCGGTTTCCATGGAAACGCTTTTGGACTTAGTCTTAAAGAAGGGTGGGCTTGCTTCCGGAGCATAACTCAAGAACCATTCAATATTTTTCAACAAAACTTGGTAGATATATCAAACAGATCCTAAAGTGGTGCCTTTTGCTATTTACAGATTTTTTGGCATTTTTATTTTTCCCGGTTTCCATGGAAACAATTCGACTTAGTCCCAAAAGTGAGGGGTGGGCTTCGCTTTCGAGCATAACTCAAGAACCGCTCAATATTTTTCAACAAAAGTTGGTAGATATATCAAACAGAACCATGAGGGGTGCCTTTGGTATTTGCAGATTTTTGTCATTTTTATTTTTCCCGGTTTCCATGGAAACATTTTGGACTTAGTCTCAAAAAGTAAGGATTGCTTTCGTTTCCGGAGCATAACTCAAGAACCATTCAATATTTTTCAACAAAACTTGATAGATATATCAAACAGATCCTAAAGTTGTGCCTTTTGCTATTTGCAGATTTTTGGCATTTTTATTTTTCTTGGTTTCCATGGAAACATTTTGGACTTAGTCTCAAAAAGTAAGGATTGCTTTCGTTTCCGGAGCACAACTCAAAAACCGTATAATATTTTTCAACAAAACTTGGTAGATATATCAAACAGATCCTAAAGTTGTGCCTTTTGCTATTTACAGATTTTTGGCATTTTTATTTTTCCCGGTTTCCATGGAAATGATTCGGACTTAATCCCAAAAGTGAGGGGTGGGCTTCGCTTCCGGAGCATAACTCAAGAACCGCTCAATATTTTTCAACAAGACTTGGTAGATATATCAAACAGAACCTTAAGTGGTGCCTTTGCTATTTGCAGATTTTTGGTATTTTTATTTTCCGGTTTCCATGGAAACGATTCGGACTTAATCCCAAAAGTGAGGGGTGGGCTTCGCTTCCGAGCATAACTCAAGAACCGCTCAATATTTTTCAACAAAACTTGGTAGATGTATCAAACAGAACCTTAAGTGGTGCCTTTTGCTATTTGCAGATTTTTTGGCATTTTATTTTTCTTGGTTTCCATGGAAACATTTTGGACTTAGTCTCAAAAAGTAAGGATTGCTTTTCGCTTCCGGAGCACAACTCAAAAACCGTGATAATATTTTTCAACAAAACTTGGTAGATATATCAAACAGATCCTAAAGTTGTGCCTTTTGCTATTTACAGATTTTTGGCATTTTTATTTTCCCGGTTTCCATGGAAATGATTCGGACTTAATCCCAAAAGTGAGGGTGGGCTTCGTTCCGGAGCATAACTCAAGAACCGTTCAATATTTTTCAACAAGACTTGGTAGATATATCAAACAGAACCTTAAGTGGTGCCTTTTGCTATTTGCAGATTTTTGGTATTTTTATTTTTCCCGGTTTCCATGGAAACGATTCGGACTTAATCCCAAAAGTGAGGGGTGGGCTTCGTTTCCGGAGCATAACTCAAGAACCGTTCAATATTTTTCAACAAAACTTGGTAGATGTATGAAACAGAACCTTAAGTGGTGCCTTTTGCTATTTGCAGATTTTTGTCATTTTTATTTTTCCCGGTTTCCATGGAAACATTTTGGACTTAGTCTCAAAAAGTAAGGATTGCTTTCGCTTCGAGCACAACTCAAAACCGTGATAATATTTTTCAACAAAACTTGGTAGATATATCAAACAGATCCTAAAGTTGTGCCTTTTGCTATTTACAGATTTTTGGCATTTTATTTTTCCCGGTTTCCATGGAAACGATTCGACTTAATCCCAAAAGTGAGGGGTGGGCTTCGCTTTCGAGCACAACTCAAAAACCTCTCTATATCTTTCAGCAAAACTTGGCAGATATGTGAGGCAGATCTTGAAGTGGTGCCTTTTGCTATTTGCAGATATTTGTGATTTATTACTTTCTCGGTTTCCATGGAAATGATTCGGACTTAGTCTCAAAAAGGAAGGGATGGGTTTCGCTTCCGAACACAACTGGAAAACTTCTTAATATCTTTCAGCAAAACTTGGCAGATATGTCAGGCAGATGCCAAAGTGGTGCCTTTTGCTATTTGCAGATATTTGTGATTTATTATTTTCTCAGTTTCCATGAAAACAATTTGGACTTAGTCTCAAAAGGGAGGGGTAGGTTTTGTTTCCGGAGCACAACCCGAAAACTTCTTAATATCTTTCAGCAAAACTTGGCAGATATGTGAGGCAGATCCCAAAGTGGTGCCTTTTGCTATTTGCAGATTTTTGTCATTTATTTTTTTCATGATTTCCATGGAAACGATTTGCACTTAGTCTAAAATCAAGCTGGACTTTAAGTAACTGTCAGATGATTTGTTCTTTCAAAGATATGGGGGCCGGGGGGATATGTCATCTTCTGATGACTCTTGTTTACGTCAGCTATCGTTTATAATGAATCTACGTCTAATTTCAAATTGGGCATTTAAAAAGTGTCCTTTGTAATACAATATCGTCACACACTAATTTGCATAAAGCCATGGTCTGTTCCAAAAAGACTTTGAAAAAAATCGCATGGCTCATTTGTGCACTAATTTCCCCTCAGTAAAGTCCTTTTTCTCCGTTTCCTATCTCTCTACCACTGAGACTGTAGTTAGGCCGAACTTAGTTTAACAGATATTTCACACTTTCACATATCAACTACATAAATTGTAGAGATAAATGAGAAAATACAGTTTTTTTCTATTTCCAACAGTACTATAGTCAACCAAGTCAGCTAGCCTGACCACCCGATCCTGTTAGTTGCCTCTTACGGCAAGCATGGTTACTGAAGATCGATTCTAACCCGAATCCTCAAGGGTCGGGTTGTTTTGAGTGCATGATGTGTACACAGGCAGAAATTACAATTCTGTATAAACCTGTACACCTTGTTGGTTCAGAGGCCGACTAACAACCTGGTCACTTGCAGGATGCAATCTCAATACATGTGGCTTGTGACCACTCACTCACTCACTCACTCACTCTGCCCATACTAAGCAAGATCTCCTATTGTTTATACTGTTAAATATTTATGGAGCCCTAGATGTCTGATGTATTCTGATTGTTATCCCCCTGGCATGTTATGCGGGGGGATATAGTCGTCGCCTCGTCCTTCTGTCCGTCCGTCTGTAATCATTTTGTTTCCGGAGCATAACTCAAAGACCGTTCCATATTTTTCAACAAAAATTGGTAGATATGTCAAACATAACCTAAGGTGGTGCCTTTTGCTATTTACAGATTATTGTCATTTTTATTTTTCTCGGTTTCCATGGAAATGTTTTGGACTTAGTCTTAAAGAGGGGTGGGCTTTGTTTCCGGAGCGTAACTCAAGAACCGTTCAATATTTTTCAACAAAACTTGGTAGACATATCAAACAGAACCTTAAGTGGTGCCTTTTGCTATTTGCAGATTTTTGTGATTATTATTTTTCCCGGTTTCCATGGAAACGATTCTGACTTAGATCCAAAAGTGAGGGGTGGGCTTCGTTTCTGGAGCATAACTCAAGAACCGTTAAATATTTTTCAACAAAACTTAGTAGATATATCAAACAGAACCTTAAATGGTGCCTTTTGCTATTTGCAGATTTTTGGCATTTTATTTTTCCCGGTTTCCATGGAAACAAATCGAACTTAGTCCCAAAAGTGAGGGGTGGGCTTTGTTTCCGGAGCACAACTCGAAAACTTCTTAATATCTTTCAGCAAAACTTGGCAGATATGTGAGGCAGATCTTGAAGTGGTGCCTTTTGCTATTTGCAGATTTTTGTCATTTATGTTTTTCATCATTTCCATGGAAACGATTTGCACTTAGTGTAAAATCAAGCTGGACTTTAAGTAACTGTCAGATGATTTGTTCTTTCAAAGATGTGGGGGCCGGGGAGATATGTCATCTTCTGATGACTCTTGTTATTCATTGAAGTAATCAAATAGCGATGAGAAGGCACAAATGACAAGTGTCAGTTTTCCATAATTAAACCCAAAATATTTGTCCCCCTTCTATAGAGTTCTCAGATGTTCTTATTTGTAAAAACAGTTACCGGTAATTCATGATATTATGCCAATAAAATCTTAGATAATTTTGTTTTGTGACAAGGTTTATTCACCCTTATTACTAAACAAAATGATGCTATCTAATTTATTTCTATGTTGAAACCATCATAAAACTCAACTTTTCATTCATACTGAGAGGTTTTCCCTTGCAAACAGGTGCATGCTTGACAAAAACTTGACATAACTTATTTCTTTGTTCAGTGGGCGGCGCCGTCCGGGTATGCAGTTGGATTGTCACAGAGGGCAACACAAGGCGCCAGAAAGCGGGGAGATTGATCAGAAGTATGAAGAAATCATGAAGCAGAGTGGGATCCTCTCCATTAACGGAAACGTCAGTTTGCTGATTTTCAAACGATATTTACAAGTTGTGGAATAATGCAACCTACTAACAATGAATTGTTCTAAGTTTAACTGACCTTACTTAAAATGAATTGCTAAATCTGATTGTTTAATACTACAGGTACATAACTAGTCGGTCTTTTGTGTGCATGGAACATGGTGAAATTCATGCAGATATCAACACAGACGAAGCATCATGACACTTATTATGGCAGCCAAACCATTATTATCCCCTGCAACTCGTTTTGCGGGGGGTATTAAAATGGACTCTGTCTGTGCGTCTGTCCGTTAGTGCACATTCGTCTTTTCCAGAGCAGAACTTTACAACCGTTCACTATTTCTTCACCAAACTTGGCACATAGATAGGTCTGGTGCCTATAGGTAATTTTGGAATCTGAATAAAATATTTTTTGCGTTGCCATGGCAACAAGTTTGACTTTGACTGAATTTGATGGTAGTGATCTTTTCTGGAGCAAAACTTTAAAACCTTACAATATTTCTGCACCACACTTGGCACATACATAGGTCTAGTTGTGAACTGGTGCCTTTTGGTAGTTTTGGAATTCTGAATAAAATATTTGTGTGCGTTTCCATGGTAACAAGTTTGACTTCAACTGAAATTAGTGTTGGTGCTATTTTCCGGAGCAGAACTTTAAAACTGTTCAATGTTTTTTCACCAAACCTGTCACATCGATAGATCTGGTAGTGTACCGATGCCTTTTGGTACTTTTGGAATTCTGAATAAAATAATTTTTGCATTTCCATGGCAACACATTTGACATTGCCTGAATTTGGTGGTAGTGATCTTTTCCTGAGCAGAACTTAAAAACCTTTCAATACTCTCCTTCCACTTTGCTATATACACGCCAAAACATTTGACATAACCATAACTAGTAGACATATTCATGAAGAGTATTTTGCCATTGCAGGGCATATAGATGACTTTGTCTTCTTCTTGTAACACTTTGCCATTGGCGTGTAGTAAGTGGTCAGTATTGATGTTATGAATTGTTTTTCAGAAATACCCTACTGATATTAGTGACATGGAGCCATTGGGTGAACTGGGTCATGGAACCTGTGGACAGGTTGTGAGGATGCGACACAAGCTTACGCAGCACCCCATGGCTGTCAAGGTCAGGGTCATTCACAACATCTGTCTGGAGATAATATTTGGAATCGTGTATTTGTTATCTGTAAGAAAGCCTTGGTTTCCTGGCACTGAGTGCATCTGTGGTATATTTAACACTGTTTTGGGCTCGCCCTTATTAGATACTAATATTTGCTATATATTAGGTACAGTCTACTCCAAATATCTAGAACAATTCCTAAGTTTGAACTACAAAACTGGATGAAATTTTTAAGGGCTTAGTTTTTGCAAAAAAAGGTGATTTGTGTTGCACCAACAGTACAACATAAGTGCAGAAAGCTTAAAAAACAGTTTACATTATTGCATTACACTGGCATTTAACCCATGAGTGTAGGTCGGTGCTCATGATGACAGTCACTGGATTGTCTGGTCCAGACTGTTATTTAAGTATCATTGTCATATGGCTGGAATATTACTTAGTGTGGGGTTCTAGAATGACGGGGGATATTATGATATATACTATCTTCTATCTTCATTTGTATCAGTGAGTGAAATGTATGAAAACACCTGTCCTATTTTCTCTTGTTAGCAAATGAGAAGATCTGGCAACAAAGAAGAGAACAAACGTATCATCATGGACCTGGATGTTGTGTTGAAGAGTCACGACTGTCCCTACATTGTCCAGTGTCTGGGAACATTCATCACCTCGGTGAGACTTCTGGTTCTCTCGACGACCTGGGGTGGTGGGGTAGTCTAGTGGTTAAAGCTTTTGCTCGTCACACTGAAGACCTGGGTTCGATTCCCCACATGGGTACAATGTGTGAAGCACATTTCTGGTGTCCCCACCGTCATATTGCTTTAATGTTGCTAAAATCGGCATAAAACTAAACTCACTCACTCACTCTCTCCACTACCTAGTGCTTGTTATAAGAGCTTGATGTAACGAGAAGTTGACACTAGCCAGAAAGCAGAAAGCAGCTTGTGAACTTTATGGCATTGACTATGCTTTGAAAAGTATTGAACTGACTGACTGAGTTTGGTTTTACACCGCTTTTAGCAATATTCCAGCAACATCATGGCGGGGGACACCAGAAATGGGCTTCACACATTGTGCCCATGTGGGGATTCGAACCCGGGTCTTCGGCGTGACGAGCCAACGCTTTAACCATTAGGCTACCCCACCGCCCCTGAAAAGTATTGAAACATTTGAAAACTGAACAAATGAAAATTCTTTATAATCCATTAGATTGGTGATATTGTATGGCAGTATGGCTATGACAAGTCTCTTTTGTTTTAACTGTTTATCCTATTGCGGTGGAAGACGATGATCCTGATGTTAACATTATGACCTGTAACTGTTGTTTGGGTTATTGTTAACCATTCAAGACATACAGTGAATGTCTGGTTGTACGTTCCAAACATCCTTCCAAACACATGCTTTAGTTATGTTCATACACTCAAAGTTGAAATGCCATGAAAACTATTCACAGCTGCAATGAAACACCTATTGAGCTGATTTCCTTTGTGTGACAGATGAAGGTTAAGGTGGCCAGAAAATCAATTGGTGAGATTTCCTTCAGAAATTATTATCATCTGTGAGTAATTACGACTATTTTCATTTCAGAGCGAAGTATGGATCTGCATGGAGCTTATGTCCACATGTCTAGATAAACTGTTAAAACGAACAAGGAAACCGATTCCAGAAAAAATCCTGGGGAAAATGGCAGTAGCAGTGAGTAACTTGAAAATATTAGATTGTGAAGGGCATTAATAACACTTTATTGCTATATGTATTTAAATGATATAATTATGTATCTTTGTTCATGACATCAGCAAACAGAACTACAGTCAGCTTCAGATGTACAAGAGGGGTGGAAAGATAATCTAGACTTTGCTTTTAACTCAGGCTGCTGAGTTATCTCTTGTAGCATTTGTACCAAATTCGAAAAGTAGCATGTTTGTTGTTTTGAGTGTTCAGTTGTCATGGGGGCAGTGGGGTAGTCTAATGGTTAAACTTAAAGTGTTCGCTTGTCACGCTGAACCCACGGGTTCAATTCCCCACATGGGTACAATGTGTAACCCATTTCTGGTGACCCCCGCTGGGATATTTCTGGAATATTGCTAAAAGCGTCATAAAACTAAACTCACTCACTCACGTTTTGTTCCCCGAATTGGTACAAAGTGTGAAGGCCATTTCAGATGCATTCTTGCTGTGATCATAGTCTATATCTCTTGGACTCACATTTCGGTGAACCTACTCAAACCACTGTAGTTCTTGCTGTGATCATAGTCTATATCTCTTGGACTCACATTTCGGTGAACCTACTCAAACCACTGTAGTTCTTGCTGTGATCATAGTCTATATCTCTTGGACTCACATTTCGGTGAACCTACTCAAACCACTGTAGTTCTTGCTGTGATCATAGTCTATATCTCTTGGACTCACATTTCGGTGAACCTACTCAAACCATTGAAGTTCTTGCTGTGATCATAGTCTATATCTCTTGGACTCACATTTCGGTGAACCAACACAAACCACTGAAGTTCTTGCTGTGATCATAGTCTATATCTCTTGGACTCACATTTCGGTGAACCCACACAAACCACTGAAGTTCTTGCTGTGATCATAGTCTATATCTCTTGGACTCACATTTCGGTGAACCTACTCAAACCACTGAAGTTCTTGCTGTGATCATAGTCTATATCTCTTGGACTCACATTTCGGTGAACCTACTCAAACCACTGTAGTTCTTGCTGTGATCATAGTCTATATCTCTTGGACTCACATTTTGGTGAACCCACACAAACCACTGAAGTTCTTGCTGTGATCATAGTCTGTATCTCCTGGACTCACATTTCGGTGAACCTACTCAAACCATTGAAGTTCTTGCTGTGATCATAGCCTATATCTCTTGGACTCACATTTCGGTGAACCTACTCAAACCACTGTAGTTCTTGCTGTGATCATAGTCTGTATCTCTTGGATTCACATTTTGGTGAACCCACACAAACCACTGTAGTTCTTGCTGTGATCACAGTCTATATCTCTTGGACTCACATTTCGGTGAACCTACTCAAACCATTGAAGTTCTTGCTGTGATCATAGTCTATATCTCTTGGACTCACATTTTGGTGAACCCACACAAACCACTGAAGTTCTTGCTGTGATCATAGTCTATATCTCTTGGACTCACATTTTGGTGAACCCACACAAACCACTGTAGTTCTTGCTGTGATCATAGTCTGTATCTCTTGGACTCACATTTTGGTGAACCCACACAAACCACTGAAGTTCTTGCTGTGATCATAGTCTATATCTCTTGGACTCACATTTTGGTGAACCCACTCACATTTTGGTGAACCCACACAAACCACTGAAGTTCTTGCTGTGATCATAGTCTATATCTCTTGGACTCACATTTTGGTGAACCCACACAAACCACTGAAGTTCTTGCTGTGATCATAGTCTATATCTCTTGGACTCACATTTTGGTGAACCCACACAAACCACTGTAGTTCTTGCAATCTCAGTCTACAGGTAAGCTACAGTCTGACCAATCAGAATGTGAGTTGGAGACCAGCCTGAGTGTTGGGTTGGCGATATCAACAACATGGCAACCAGTCCCATATAATATGATACTTTTGTGAGAAATTTACAATTGACGCGCGGTACCGAGGGTATTGCAATGAATCCAGATTTAGGTAGAAGAAGCCAAACTACGGTTCTGAATTTGGCAGATAAGGGGGGATATGTCAACTCTTTATGACTCCTTTTGGGTATTTTGAGATTATGAGAAGCACCGGAATGGATCCTGGGGTTTGTGTAGGTTTAATGAAATGCAATCATTGGAGATAAAGAGGACATGTAATGTCTATGGCGAGAATATTGCTTAAAGTGGCTTCAAGCCATACTTGCCCCTTGAATGGGAATCATTAATGCCCAGTATTAATGCAATAAGGTTTATATTGTTTACAAGTAAAGTACTTCTGTAGAAAGGAGTTGGCCTATGGAAATATGGTAAACATTCCACGGTCATCAAACTATTCTGTCATCGCTTCAGGTCAGTGAACGAGAATAAATAAATGTGCCAGTGAAGATGTGCGAGATTAAACATCACTAGACATGATGATTTACCATTTCACTAACATATGTTTTCTGTTTCCACAGATTGTCAGGGCATTACATTACTTAAAAGAAAATCATGGTGTGATACATAGAGGTAAGCACTGATAGGGAAGATGGGGGGCGGCCATGTTTGGAGTTACTTCCCCTTGCAGATATGTTTCTTGATAGCAGTTTCTGCAGATAAGCTACATAAAGGGGTAACTCAAGTAACCCTTTTTCTACTTTTGTGCTAGGACTGGACTAAATTTACAATCTCTGCAAAACACTTTTGAGTTTAGTAGGGCTTAAGACAAGTGGAGATTGAGTTTGAACTATTGCCAGTCATATGTTGTACATTTCTGATTATCTTTGAGAACTTTTTCAAGATATTTTTTTTAAGTGCGTAGCCTAGAATGAAGTCCCCTTTAAAATATAGTGTCATAAAACATGACTAAGTTGCATTCCGATTGCATATATCTCCATCCTGTTGGTCATTTCATCGTCAGTCCTAGTTTGTGAAAGGTTGTTCTGACTTGATTGTAATGGGGTATCCTCAGAGTAATACTAGCAAGCACTGAGATCTGTTATTATTGAGATTTGAGTTCTTCTCAACATCATTTGATTACCTGACTACCTGAAAACAGACGTGTCGCTACTACCGGGTACCCACTATATCAGCTGTTGGTGTTAATGTGTGATGGAGGAATGCATCGTATTCAAACCATGAAGTGCAGACGATGTGTTGGTTCTTGTCTTAAAGTGTATTTATGTTGATTATTTCAGATGTGAAACCATCCAATATTTTATTGGATGAGAATGGGTCCGTGAAGTTATGTGATTTCGGCATCAGCGGTCGACTGGTGGACTCGAAAGCCAAGACTCGCACAGCAGGCTGTGCTGCATATATGGCTGTGAGTTGACAGAAAAGTATCTTTTTACTGTGCAGTGGGCTCCGATGAGAAATTTAACCATTGTGATATCAAGCATGCTGTTACCACGATAACACACAGAGATCAATCCTTGTATGATGACTGAGATAACTAGTCTGCCTTCGGTTATGTGTGAAACGTTGCTTAAGATCTGTTAAGTGAATTCCCCTCATCAAATAGTGAATTCCCCTCATCATACCTGTAAAGAATGTGTGTGAAATCTGTGGTACAATAGGTGTTTGTTCTTGCTGGTTGCAAGAGGTCACCTGATGGATTGGGCTGTCAACTGATCGATTGGGCTGTCAACTGATCGATTGGGCTGTCACATTCAGTGAACTGGTTTATGTGTCTTTGTATCCTGGCAGCGTTGCTCCATAATACCGTCAGACTATTGCTGAAATGTTGCCGATGGGATTCTACATCTCAACTCGCCATAATGTCAATCACAGGATTGTCAGCCCCACTTGATTGTATAAATGCTGCTGTCTTGAAGCTGGAATATAGCAAACTTATCTTGTCTGCGTGAAGCAGTCATCAGAGAGTTCATTGATTACATATATGTTTGTACAGTGAACTACGATTGTAATGACCTTATTGGGACCACTTGTTTTATTTTGTTTTAACCATAGTTTGTTGTGGGCATTTTCACTAGATATACTGCCGGTGGCAGGGAAGTGAAAAATCAAGTTCTTCATAATATCCATCTGTTTGTTACAAGTGTGTTGTTGTGAAACACAGCTTACTGTTTATGTATTATGGTTGTTTTCAGCCTGAGAGAATCGACCCACCAGATCCAGCCTGTCCTGATTATGATATCCGAGCTGATGTCTGGAGCCTGGGAATATCATTGGTAATGTGAAGAACCGATTATATCCATGTTGCTATGAAACCATTATTGTCTGTAATTTGAAGTAGAATTACCACTGTGTGCGTGTCAGTTTCATTAAGTAGATATGGTTTGGCAGACTGAATTCAAGGCATGCTCATAGGAAGTCTTGTTCTATTATATTATGAATATGTCTCTACACTTTCCATTTGTTTTGGTGGCATCTGATTATTTTCAAGAGTCTTAGCATATGTGAAAGTTTCACCTGTACCCAATATTCCAGGTGGAGCTAGCAACAGGGGAATTCCCCTACAAAGACTGTAAGACAGATTTTGAAGTTCTCACCAAGGTCTTGCAGGAGGACCCGCCCCTCCTACCACCAGGGGAGAGTTTCTCTCTCGACTTCTGCTCCTTCGTCCGAGACTGGTCAGTTTTTCATTTTTCTCTGATAGGCAATGAGTTATGATTACCTCGGTGAAAGTCCGGTTTACATTTCAGCAGTCTGAGCTTGTTATAGAGGCAACTAACATCATCGGGTGGTCAGGCTAGGTTGAAGCTTGTTATCCTAGCCCTTTGTCATATAGATTGATGACTATGTTGTCAAACACTGTATTGGTCTGGTCAAGATTTGATTATTTACAGACATCTGTCACAAAGTTGGAATATTTCTGATTTGCATCGTTAAAAACATGCTGGCGATATTTGTTCAAGCGATAGTAGTAAAAGATTGATAGTGAGACGATGAATAGATGTGATGATATCATTCACAGACATGTCATTTTTATTATTTTCCAGTTTGACAAAAGATTACAAGAAAAGGCCAAAGTATAAGAAGTTATTGGTAAGTTCATGTGTCAGTATACAATACTAAACTGTGGGATGGGGTGTTATCCCAGTGAGAATAGCAATTACAACAGTGTTACTCTAGGTGGGTGTGACAGGTATGGCATTGGTGCTAACAACATAATTACAGTGTAGGAAGGTGTGGCGTAGTAATTATTGATGACAACATTGTTATACCGTTGGATAGTGTCAACATTGCTAAACATTGCTGGCAACACTGGATAATGTGACATAGGTGTAAGAATGCTGACAACAGTGTTACTCTAGGTGGGTGTGACAGGTGTGACATTGCTGACAACAGTGTTACTCTAGGTGGGTGTGACAGGTGTAAGAATGCTGACAACATTGTCACATTGTAGGTGGGTGTGACAGGTGTGACATTGCTGACAACAGTGTTACTCTAGGTGGGTGTGACAGGTGTAAGAATGCTGACAACATTGTCACATTGTAGGTGGGTGTGACATTGTGACATTGCTGACAACAGTGTTACTCTAGGTGGGTGTGACAGGTGTAAGAATGCTGACAACATTGTCACATTGAAGGTGGGTGTGACATTGCTGACAACAGTGTTACTCTAGTTGGGTGTGACAGCTGTGGCATTGCTGACAACAGTGTTACTCTAGGTGGGTGTGACATAGGTGTAAGAATGCTGACAACAGTGTCACATTGTAGGTGGGTGTGACAGGTGTGGCATTGCTGACAACAGTGTTACTCTAGGTGGGTGTGACATAGGTGTGGTATTGCTGACAACAGTGTTACTCTAGGTGGGTGTGACATAGGTGTGGCATTGCTGACAACAGTGTTACTCTAGGTGGGTGTGACAGGTGTGGCATTGCTGACAACAGTGTTACTCTAGGTGGGTGTGACAGGTGGTGTGTGACAGGTGTGGCATTGCTGACAACAGTGTTACTCTAGGTGGGTGTGACATGGGTGTGGTATTGCTGACAACAGTGTTACTCTAGGTGGGTGTGACATAGGTGTGAGAATGCTTGCTGACAACAGTGTCACATTGTAGGTGGGTGTGACATAGGTGTGGCATTGCTGACAACTCTGGGTGGGTGTGACAGTGTTACTCTAGGTGGGTGTGACATAGGTGTGGTATTACTGAGAAAAGTGTCACATTGTAGGTGGGTGTGACATAGGTGTGGCATTGCTGACAACAGTGTTACTCTGTTACTCTAGTGGGTGTGACAACAGTGGTGTGGTATTGCTGACAACAGTGTTACTCTGGGTGGACAACAGTGTTACTCTGAGGTGGGTGTGACAGGTGTGGCATTGCTGACAACAGTGGTATTGCTGACAACAGCAGTATAGCTCAAGCCCTTGTACACTACTAGTGATCACAGATTGTCAGTTGGGACCTTAGCCACTGAAAGCATCTGTTAGGTGTATATTTATCCAAGTCTTGGTATCCTTATCAATCCATCACTGGCAGTCTATATATGTTTTGTTCGATTCACAGGAGCATCCGTTCATCAAGAGATATGAGAAGGAGCATGTAGATGTAGCATCGTGGTACATAGGAATATCTAAACTCATTGAGACGAAGGCATCATGACACCTGTGTCAGGTGAGTGTGACTGAATTGATATAGTTAGCATGGAAACAATCACTCATTGCCAGTATGTAAACATTGACCTCTTCAAATGTTACACTGTCTTAAGTGCTGATTCTTCAGTTGAAACTTAAAAGTTAACCCGAGATCAGCCTGTAAAAGAACTCAAACAATGGATGAATTAACAATTGTATGCTAAAATTAACAAGTTCACATATCAGTACAAATTACTACAAAGGTGCCACTATGGCAGTACAAAGTATTCCAAGGTAACATAAAAGCGTAGAGATTATAGCAATAAAAGCAATGGTGTTTCACCTCTCAGCAATAGTAATCCAACTTGCAATAAAGTTCCCATTGTATAGAATGATCACACGAATAGCTGGTCTTCTTGTGACTTGAGATGTAATGTGAGATGAGAGACAAGAGTTATCTCCCCTTACCTACCAATGCACAATTCACCAATCTGGTGATACATTTCGAATTTACACACGTCAATATTCCTGATATTCTTAACTGCACTTATCTGAGGTTGGTGTCTAATAGTAAAAATGCAGCAATCAAAGTACCTTGCAGTCTTAGGTTCCAAACTCCACTTCTCTGAGCATGCATATAGTTTCTGGTCAAGACTCAATTGTTAAGAGACCATTGTCATATGGCTTGAATTTTGTTGAATGTGGCCAACAAAAAAGTGTGCCATGATATTACTGTTACACATGATACAAGTATACATGTACTCCCTTGTCTTGTCTTGCAGCTCTCAAACGATACGGTCGGCTGCAGATGTCTGTGACGACCACCACCCGACGTCCACTGTCCAGTTTGACCGCCAACAGCGGCCTGACAGACGGGCGGTGAAGACACTCGGTGTACCTGTACCATCATCAGACCTGGCTCAGAACTATACGCGTTGTAACCCTGTACTGAGTGAGGGAGAGTGAGGAGGGTGGACTGAGTGAATGAGTGAGAGATTGTCGGAGCAATTTAACATGTGGATGAATGAACGAAAACCACCTTGATTGTGTGTCCAAGCTGCTTTCACTCGATCTGATACAAAAGTAGATTGAACTGGTATGTACCAGAAATGACTGTACAGGAACCGGTTTTGACTGCTTTTCAGTGGATGCTGTTGGTTGTTACAGCATTAAACTGGTTTGTACTGACTGTAACCAGTTTGTATTCCTGGCGATAAAAGCTGAGAGTGTTTGATACTGAAGTGGGTCGGCAGGATACAACATCAGATGTACAAATGTAACCTCATAATCATGCTCCTGAATCTGCATTTCCACATCTCTTTTTACCACAGGTATATTTTATGTTCCCATTGTACAACCGGCCATGTTTCAGGGCACGAAGCCTGACAATCTGCATATCAAACAGAAAACAAACACCGAATTTGACCCATTTGAGAACAGTGAGATTTTAGTGATAAGCGAGAGTGAGATGAATAATCCATAAATTTATTAAATTGAATATAGTACACCAAAGACTCAAGCTGATATTTAGCTGATATTTTTGGGTTAAGATATTACTGAACATAGCTTATAACTAACGTTATGGGTTTGTAGTGGTACTGGTAACTTGTGTATCACAGAAATGGACAAAAATGGGCAAGTGGATTTAGTGCTTAGTTTTGCATTAATTCATAAACCTTTTAACTTTGAACAGTTTGTAACAGGCGTACACTATTTACAGTTTCTGTCATGCCGGCATTTGTTGAGAACAATTCAACCTTGTCGTACAGAGCTTGCTATTTATTCAGTGATGTAATGCATACAGGGACAGAGAGGTGGCCTAATGATTAAATTGTCTGCTCATCACGATTCCCTATGTGGGTACAACGTGTGAAGCCCATTTCTGGTGTCCCCTGCCATGATATTGCTGGAATATTGTTACAGCAGCGTCAAACCCACCTGGCACAACTGACCTCTGCCTTATGGATACCTTCAGCAGTGACAGTACTTGGCATCATGGACATGGATAACATGATGGAACAGAGTTACTGTTGAAACAACAACGTTCATCATGTTGTATTGTAATAATTAACTAATTTGATTAAATCAAAGCTGGTATTAGGATCCTGTAAACCTGTCTTGAGCCTCTCATAGGAAAGCAATGGCTAGTAAACTCATAAGGTTAGCTTGTTCCACTGTATGGTATTGTCTTCTGAAAATAATGCCCAAATCCCTAAATATTTAAAGAAAAAAATAAAATTCTGTTATATAGTATTTACAGTATGTAAATGAGGCATAATTTAACATAAATTGTGTATACATCTGTTACGCCTATTCATCACATACGGTGCCAAATGATTTGCCACCATGTTTGACTACAGAACCCCTTTTTAAAACTGTTCAGAACGTATGTCAATAGTTTTTGGTACAGACAGGCAGATCATCTAGGTAGGAAGCTTGGAACTACCAGCTCTCTGACCGTGTTTGTATTTTCAAATTGTAAAACCAACTTTATCTGAAATGGGATATTGCATATATCCACAGTCCAATATATGATAAGAGTTTTTGTCACAGATTGTAAAAGTGAGTCTGTATTGACCTGTGGAATTATATGGTTTCCCTTCAATGAGCTCTTGAAAAAAAGTACAAGGTGAAATATTAAACCCAATCCATCTTGATCCGATTCAGACATTAGCTATGCGTTTCAGATTTGTGGGTTTTATGCGATGCCCAGAATACTCAGTAACAGTCTAAGATCTGAAAAAATGTATATCGACATTGTATTACAAAAGTTGTCAAAACTTTTCCTGAACAGAGCTCTCTAAATGAACTACTACATGCATACTGTTTAATGTGGCCTTGAGCCAGGAGTCTCTGCTTCTTGGAAATGCAGTATCAGAGCCATGAACTTAACATGTGGTTACTGTGTCATGTGTTAATCTTATCCTTCAGCTATGTGTGATAAGGGTGTCACGATGCACGTATCTCCTGACCGAGTCCTGATGGGTTCTGCAATACCTCATTAACTCAATTAAGTCCTGTCTGTTGTACATTTAAGCAAATGAATAAAGCTCTTTCATAAATAATTTTCTTTTAAATGATCCAGGTGAATTCTGATTTGCATTGAATCGTGATACCCCTACATTGTAGCGTCAGCAGTTATCTAGGCAGTACATTACCATCTGTAATAAATACCCTGGACCTTTAGGCAACGATTGGTTTGTTTCGAAATTGATGTTGGCAACTTTATTTCTCCTGCTTGTAACTGACCACAGAATTTGTTGCTGAGGGGAGTAATCTGATTGCATTGCAGCATCCTGCCACAGACTAGGATTTGATACAGAGCTATGGTTTGGAATGGGTCATGGGTGTATTTCATCATAAAATGGAGGCATATTCAGGGGTGCTGGGCATGGCAGGGCCAGTCATTGTTTCATCCGTTAGACACAAACCTCACACGGTGGGTCAGTGTTTCATCCGTTAGACACAAACCTCACACGGTGGATCAGTGTGTTTCATCCGTTAGACACAAACCTCACTCGGTGGGTCAGTGTTTCATCCGTTAGACACAAACCTCACACGATGGGTCAGTGTTTCATCCATTAGACACAAACCTCACTCGGTGGGTCAGTGTTTCATCCGTTAGACACAAACTTCACACGGTGGGTCAGTGTTTCATCCGTTAGACACAAACCTCACACGGTGGGTCAGTGTTTCATCCGTTAGACACAAACCTCACACAGTGGGTTTGAATCCTGGTTATGTCTAGGTTTGTCTGTACTATACTGCAGCAGTGGGAAAACAAAGAACTTCTTTAACCTTCGTCTCCTTGAGCTTTTCTCCCACATTAAAGATGTTGAAACTGGAAAACTGTTAAAAGTGGCATTAAACCCAACTCACTCATTAGACACTGAAGTAACCGATGGTGACAAACGAGCATCACCACGATGTGTCACAGCTCATGTCAGGGCGTAATGGCGTGTTGATGAAACGGAAGATCCAGATCAATTCTGACTGTATCAAGGTCTCTGTAGTGCTCCAGTTTCCTGAAACTCTTCGTCCATCATATCTTCAAAATGCCACAGAGAAGCATGTTGTTTTTTGTTTTTTTCATCAGAGATGTACGTTACATACATGCCAGGCCAAAACAGACCAATTCATCTTGATGCATTTAGAGTGAACTTTAGCTATGTGAGAAGCGGAGTGGATCTCTGGTTGTGTGACATGTTGAGTGTACATACTGTGTATAGGCTGGGAATGTTTGTGAGTGTAAGAGGACACTGTAGACCTATTGTCATATACGTTGCTGTATGATTAAATTGATATCAAAACTGATATGACTTTGTTCTTCTTTAAGCCTGGGCTGTGGGGAAGCCCAGTTATTGAAAGGGGCAGTAAGGTAGCCTAGTAGTTAGTGTTTGCTCGTCACGCCAAAGACCTGGGTTCGATTCCCCACATGGGTACACTGTGTGAAGCCCATTGCTGGTGTCCTTTGCCATGATATTGCTGGACTATTGCTAAAAGCAGCATGAAGCTAAACTCAACTCACTCACTCACTGTGGTGTAGTGGTTAGATTGTCAGAGTGTAGAGTGAAAGGCTGCGGTTTGATCCTTGGCAGAGTCATACCAAAAGACATTAAAATATGCTACTTGTTGGTCCCTGCCTGGTGCTCGGCATTAGTAGGTACAACAAGGACTGGTCGGCTAAGAGTCAAACTGCGGCATGGTATCTCAGTGAGCTAGCACCATAAAACCAGCTTAAGTCTGGGCTAGTACAAGCAGCCACACATACACATGCATGCATGTCATCATATGAGTGAAATATTCTTAAGTACAGAGTTAAACACCATTTCACCTCACCTAAGCATTTAAAGAGCACACTTTAATAAACGATCGTGTTCAATGTGATATGCAGTGTCTCCCCGATGTGATATTGACGGAATATGGCTTAAAGCAGTCCTCACTCTTTAGTAAGGACCAGTCTCTATATTTGGAGAACAGAAAGATGTGTGTATTCAGATTTGACCCTTCTCAAAACTAAATTTAGAGTTATCCAATGTTGGTCTTCGGGTTAAAGATATTTAGATCTAACAAAGAGACTGGTCCTAAAGTGATGATGGACTTGATTTCACTGACATTTACACCATCTTGAATGAAAGTGGTACTGAAATCGCAGGGGTACATCAATGTGATGTACAGCAGATTCTCCACAACAATAAAGCTATCCAGGTTCATCCATCCATACTTGACCTCTACAACTCTGGGCAGGTGACTTGCTGCCATGTTCAAGTCTACCCTGGATACGACTGGTGTAAGCTGTCATGTTCAAGACTACCCTGGATACTACTGGTGTAAGCTGTCATCTTCAAGACAACCCTGGATACTACTGGTGTAAGCTGCCATCTTCAAGACAACCCTGGATACTACTGGTGTAAGCTGCCATCTTCAAGACTACCCTGGATACGACTGGTGTAAGCTGCCATCTTCAAGACAACCCTGGATACTACTGGTGTAAGCTGCCATCTTCAAGACAACCCTGGATACTACTGGTGTAAGCTGCCATCTTCAAGACAACCCTGGATACTACTGGTGTAAGCTGCCATCTTCAAGACAACCCTGGATACTACTGGTGTAAGCTGCCATCTTCAAGACAACCCTGGATACTACTGGTGTAAGCTGCCATCTTCAAGACAACCCTGGATACTACTGGTGTAAGCTGCCATCTTCAAGACAACCCTGGATACTACTGGTGTAAGCTGCCATCTTCAAGACAACCCTGGATACTACTGGTGTAAGCTGCCATCTTCAAGACTACCCTGGATACGACTGGTGTAAGCTGCCATCTTCAAGACTACCCTGGATAAGACTGGTGTAAGCTGCCATGTTCAAGACTACCTTGGATACGACAGGTGTAATGAAGTGTTCTCTCTGTTTTCTTCCAGTCCCTGTACCTAAATACACTTATAAACCTATCTCGGATTTTCTCTGCAGTAAAATACGTTCCTTCCAGAATTGGATAGGACTCTGCCATGACTTTGCACCGATCATTTCTAAACCCAGGCTTTGAAGTACACTTTTCGAAGTTTTGAAGTGACCATTATTTATGATTGATACAACTTTGTCTTGCTATGAGTGATCGTAAAATATCTCATTATTGAAAACTTCCAATATATAGTGGCGATAACTGGTTTCGAACCCTCAACCCTTCGCACTCTAGCTTGGTGGTTTTATCCACTAGACTACGAGGGATGGCTGTGAAGAATGAGATTGTTTGTCAGTATGAACGTTCCTCACAAGACGAGTACTGCAGGCAGCGCAAGTGCAGGACACTGGTAAGCGTGTGCACAGCACGTGCATTGCGCGTGCGAGGCAAGGTGTTGGCTGCCAGTCGCATCCCAGTTGACACCGACTGTTCCATCATTTGCGGGCTGTTCCATCAATGTCGTTCTGCTCAGTACATGCACAAATTGAAAATAATACATATTTGATGAAACACTCCCCATCGGTCTTGGTCAGGATTGTCAAACATGAGAGCAGCAGGGACAGAGCTTAAATATTGTACTGGCCCTTGCCTGCAAACTATCACTTAAACAACATAATACCTGATAATACTTACCTTAAGATCTGAGGACAACTCTATAGGCTTTCTATAATGATTTGACTTCATTCTTGAACACTTAGATTTAAAAATATTGACTAGTACAAATGAATACCTGCACAGGACACAAATATTGCTTCTGTTAACTCTGGGCGGTGGGGTAGCCTAGTGGTTAAAGCGTTTGCTGGTCATATACATGGGTACAATGTGTGAGCCCATTTCTGGTGTCACCCCCCTTGATATGCTGGAATATTGCTAAAAGTGGAGTATACTAAACTCACTCACTCAAATACATTTACAAACAAGATGATCCATGTGGTTTGCCATCATTACAGAAACAACGATGAACTGATTAGATTAGAGAATTGTGCACTTCACACGCCCCATATATGTTGTGTTTGAACAACAGAAATGAAAGATATGCTTGCCTGACAGCCTCAATTCTTTGTACAGAGATTTGGAAGCTGATTGGCTGACTTGAAACTTTACCTGATACAAGGTTCTTTGATGGTGTTCTCTGGTTCTCAAACAAAGAGGTATATGAGTAAAGATCTGATATTAAAGAGGTTACTGGTAACGAATGCCATATAAGAACTTCAATGAGTCCAACTACACAAATTCTCAGCCAAGCAAGTACAGCGATTACTCTGGCAATATAAGGCGTGACACCAGAATTGAGCTTATTCCTGAATCCATGTGGGGATTGAATCCCAGACTTAAACAGCTTTGCAGAGTTTGTTTGTTGTTTAACGCCACACTCGGCAATATTCCAGCTAAATGACGATGTGTAAATAATCAAGTCTGGACTAGACAATCCAGTGATAAACAACATGAGCATCGAACTACGCCATTGGGATATGATGATGTGTCAACCAAGTCAGAGAGCCTGACCACCTGATCCAACTAGTCGCCTTTTACGACAGGCATGGGTTGCTGAAGACCAATTCTAACCTGGATCATCACAGGTCACTTTGCAGAGAGAAACAGGAAATTCAAACATGTTTATTGAATAAATTAAATTATGTAACATTTTGTTGCTTACGTGTGATTGCATAACATCAACAAAGTTAAAAATCAGAGTGTAAAATAAAAAATTCTTCAATACTTTGTGTGACAAACTAGCATTGCCAACAACACAACACAAGAACAGAAATAGGCATCAAATGTACTAAAATCAACAACGAGAAATGTTTTAGGAATGACATAAAAATGATTATACCTTTCTTAGGGTCCGTTCATAATTTATGGCTAGGAGGGGTGATGATGATTTTCATGGAGAAGCAGGTACAATGTGAACGACCCCCCTAAAATTTATGTACAAAATGAGTGAACCCCCCCTGCATGTCATGTACAAAATCAATGAACCTCCCCCCACCCATAATTTTTATGCATATTTAAAAAATATTTCTATGTACAAAATTGATGACCCCCCACCTCCCCAGAACAAAATGGGTGAAACCCCCCCACCACCATAAAATCATCATCATCCCCTCTAGCCATAAATTACGAATGGTCCCTTAAAAATAACAGTAATCTAATAAAACTCTTATGAATAAAACAAAATCAAATCTCATTGATGATACAATGTCAGAAAGGTGATCTCTATGTTGTCATGACGGCTCTAGCTTATTGTTTTCTGCTCCCCTCAACAGTTTCCTAGCTGTATGAGGCTGGTATGTAAACATTCAACACTGTACCAGACAATCCAGGTACTGACATCATCATTCATCCCCGGAAGATCTGGGTTAGAATTGGTCTTCAGCAGCCCATGCTTGGCGTACCAGGTGACTCACAGGATGGGCTGTGAGGCTAGCAGACCTGTATGGCACAAGCCATAGTATCTCAACTGTGTATACAGATGTTCATGATGTTGATCACTGGATTGTATTGTCCAGACTTGATTATTTACATGTAGCTGGAATATTGCTGAGTGCGGCATTAAACAACAATCACAGAAAGAAAGATGGTCACTGATCTTCACAATCGGATATGATGACATGCAACAACCAACCCCGTGGGTTGACACGACAAGCATCAACCAATCCTGTGGGTTGACACAACAAGCATTGGTTGTGGAAATAGTCAGCAATATTCCAGTTTGATGACATCAACCTGCAAATAACAATTTTGGACCAGGCAATCCAGTGATTGACATTGTGAGCAATGATCCCCCCAACCTTTGGGGTACGATGAAATGAAGACAACAGTGTTACTAAGTCTGACCACCCAATTCATTCTTTCACCTGATTGGCAGCTGGGGACCAGTTATAACCATGCATCATCACGGTACAGCTTCAATACAGGAAACTTGAATCAGCATTTGAATAAAGTTCACACACTGAAGATTGCTGCAGCCAGTCTATACAACCAGTTGAGCTAATAAATATAAATATACTCGCTGTTCACGAATAAACCATCTCTGACAGTTTCAACAACAAAAGCGGCCATTAAAAGTACACTAAGCCAAGACGAATAAATTCCACTGAGGCCAAATGAAATTCTAAGTGATATAAAAAATAACAAGTGTTTGCCACTGATATGGCAATGTCCCTTGCCGCTAAAGAATGGAATATCTATATTAACTACTTTTATTTTTGGGTCACATAAAAGATGCCTGAAATGACTGGTGTCTGCATAATCACCCGATGTAGGCTGTCAACATACTTGAAAACATTGGGTGCAATGTTTTATGAGATATCGCCTTTAAAAAGCGGTCAAAGTATTGTGGTGACCTTGAAGATAAGGTCAAGGTCACCCAAATAAACTGGTGTCTGTGTAATACCCCAATGTAAACTGTCACCAAATTTGAAGACAATGGGTACAACAGTCCATGAGATATCGTGTTAACAAGAGTTAAAAGTGTGAAAAGTGTCGTGGTGATCTTGAAAATAAGGTCAAGGTCACCCAAAATCAACTGGTGTCTGCGTAATCCCCCCAATGTAGGCTGTCACCAAATTTGAAGACATTGGGTACAACATTTCATGAGATATCGCGTTAACAAGAGTTTGAAAAGTGGTCAAAGTGTCGTGGTGACCTTGAAAATAAGGTCAAGGTCACCCAAATCGACTGGTGTCTGCATAATCTCCTAATGTAGGCTGTCACCAAATTTGAAGACATTGGGTACAACAGTTCATCAGATATCGCCTTAACAAGAATCGGGACGTACGTACAGCCATACGTCGCTGAATACACAGTCCCCCGTTCCCCCGTTCCGCCTTAAAAGGCTATGAATTTGTTTTAGCCTTGAAAAGGCACCAATTGCCTGGGATTAACATTTGCCCTAAAAAAACACCTTAATTTAGCAAAACATGTGAACTTATGATTTTACAGGGAACTATTACATAATAAAAATACCTTACAATGACTGGGGATGTTAATTAATCTCCATCGTGAAGTAAAACGTTCCCAGTGCAGCAATGTAGCTAACAGTTATTTCCCTTTGATGGTCAGTCCTACGTTTGACCAACCAAATGTGTTTCTATAGTTCCTTAATCTATGGATTGGGCCTTGAAAAGCCCGTAAGGGACCGTTCATAATCATTCTTGGGGCGGTGGGGTAGCCAAATGGTTAAAGCGTTCGCTTGTAACACCAAAGATCCAGGTTCGATTCCCCACATGGGTACAATGTGCAAAGCCCATTTCTGGTGTACCCTACAGTGATATTGCTTGAATATTGCAAAAAGCTGTGTAAAAACATACTCACTCACTCACTTATTATCATTCCTTTATCACACGACATGGGATCAAACAGTTTGCACATAGGTTTTCCGATTTATATCACATTGAACCAGAAAAAAACATAGAGGCAGTTCTCAAAACACCTTCAGCTGTGCATGGGGTCCCAAACTTGTATTGCAATAAATCGTGATCAAGGTTTCTGTATTGGGAGTGTTTGAAATAATACATTTCAGCTGACTCTGTTTTACAATGATGTGCAAAGTAACTGTCTAGCATACTGGAGAATTTTTCTGGATGTCTATATCAGACAAATGATGACAAAAGTACTGGTTTTTTATGTTGTTTGACGTCTGAAATATTTTCAATGACATACGGGTTTATGGGTTGACACAAACCTTCTACACATTGCTGATACATTATGACCTTCCTAATGGGTTCCTGGATAAATACACTTATGGGTCATTGTCATTGAACACCTTCAGTTCAATAGAAATATAGAGCAATATCGATATCCCAAATCATTGAAAAGCACCATTTCACGACTAAACTGACCTGTGCACCAAGTTTCAACAAGTGTTTGCCACTGATGTGCATAATCCCCAATGTAGGCTGTCACCAAATTTGAAGACATTGGGTACAACAGTTCATGAGATATCGCGTTAACAAGAATCGGGACGTACATACGTACGTACGGACGGACGACATATGGACGCCGCTGAATACATAGTCAACAACAAAACGATTCAGGAGTTTCAGAACTGATATACAGCGGACGGACAAGCTGATTGACATAATTCCCCACTTATCAAACTGGAGGATAACATCACAGTTTCCCCCCAATTTGCCTGCCAAAGGCACTGAGTTTGGAATTCCAGACAGATCCTAGGCTTCATCAAGCATGCATTATGTATTCAAACTTGGATAACAGTCCATTCCTGATGGTTACAAGTGTCATTTGTTAATTTCAAAATACTTCAACATTTTCAATGTCATCAGCCACACTGTGGCTAATACTACTGGCAATGTTCAACAAAGACAAAGTACTGGTATAATATTAATTTCAATTGACCACATTGACCTTATGTGTTCTAGTTATCCAGTCATAACCGGATTAATGTCCATTCAAAATGGCGGGTGTCCATTGCTATCCCTTATCAATGGGGACCAACCATTTTGCAGACATATTATATTTATAGGAGAGTCAGGCCATGTCAGGCGACCCCTGAGAACATAAAATAGTTGGTTCCTTATCACACATCCAACACAATATTATTGATGATCCAGCTGAGGATGGGCGACTGATCTATACCCTTCAGTTTGAAGGTTTCCTTCTTTTAATCTTGTACTGACACACCTTGTTCTTCCCTGAAACAAACATGGTGTCTTTCCTGTCAATGATGAGACACAATGGCATCGAGAGGTTTTCAGCTGCAGTTGAGTAGGTCATCACCTGGTTGCCATATCTGTTGAATACAATGATCTGGTCCTGGTTTGTGTCACAGACATAGAACTTCCCTGCATTATCACAAGCAGCGTAGCCCGGATACCACTCATCTGTCGCGGCGTCGCTGGTGTTGGGTCGGAGAACCAGGAAACGCTTGAAGTTGGGTTCGGTGACGACGACTGAACCTGCAAGGATAGAAATATGAAGTTTATCAAGCTTTTCACAGAGTACAAGAACAGATGTTCAGCACAGCACACCAATACACATATTCAGGTATGCCAGGGGGCACAAATACAGATTTTTGGATGTGCCCTTTAGTACATTTATCACCTCTTTCACATACTGAATAACACTACAAGACATTCTTGGTTACAAATATCATAGAAACATCATTCTGAGTGTGCCCTAAGTGCATGTTTAGTATCAACACAAATTAATAATAGTCACATAGGCAATGTTAAACACAGGGCTCTGAGGTGGCTCAGTCATCAAAGGTCTGTGATTCACTATACTACTGCTAGGAACCTACAATCATCACAGTGTTCGAATCCAGGCTCATGACAACCCCTAGCCCTTTTTCTCAGCACCAAACCCGGGCTTGCGGTGAACATGAGACATCTACAATTACTTTCGGATTCGAGGCTCATGGCAACCCCTAGCCCTTTAAATCAGCACCAAACCCGTGCTTGTGGTGAACATTGGACATCTACATCACTTCGGGATTTCCTCCCACATCCAGATCCCTCTCTCATATGGCTGGATTACTAACTCACTCTGTCATCAAGAATTTCAAATTCTCACCTGGTTGTCCCCATGAACTGTAGAGGTACCTCATGCAGGAATCCCGGGCTACAGAAAAGACTGGAGACTTGGCAGGACATTGTAATTCACGGATGTGCTCCCCACTCACTTTAATGACCCACTGCTTGTTGGCCTGGAGATTGCTGACAAGGAACGATTCTTCGTCATACAAACACAATGGATATGATACATTATCCTCCACTTGGTCTGTTGGGGACAACTTTACCTTTGCTATTGGAACGTACTGCTTTGTCACAATATACAGAGCATTCTGGATCACAAAAGCAATGACATCCTTGATACATGCAATTGAAGATGGCGAGTTACCATTCTCAGAAAACTCCTTCACAAACCCTGTGGTACCATCTTTCAAAAACGATTTGACTTTACAGTTACCCTTGTCAGTTAAAACAAGCCTGTCATGACCAAAGAAAGCTAATCCTAAAATTTCTGTTTCTGAAGAATCCTTTTTCACTGAAACATTTAAGTTTGAAATCCACTGAAGTCTGACACTTGTTGAATGGCTTTTCTGTTTGAATGGAACAACAGCAACTGATGCTTGCTTCAGTACGTCACTGTATGTGCGTATCCTTGGTGGTGGACCCGGTAAACACTGTATGGCAGTCGAGGAGGAAACAGCAACAGCAGCACCTTGAGGAAGTTCCTCCGAATGTGGCACCACTGGATCTGGTTCCACAGTTGGAGGATCCAGAATCTTGTACTGCTGTAAAGTCTTCTTCAGTCTTGCAGTCTGGTCATCAGGACTTGATGCAACTGTCTGTGACTGCAAAGGTTTAAACAAGAGCGATGAACTAACAGATATATACTTCTTGGCAGTCGTCAGTGGATCATTCATCACTAACTCAGGAGAACTGCGTGGAGTATCTGTCGGAAGACTTGCATATGATGCTGCACTATTTGTGATTGGATGAGGTTGCTGATAATTACTCATGCCGGGGGGAGGTGTAGTTTCAGGAAATCCATAGTTCACAACAAAGACAGACCTGTTCAGAATATCATGCACATTTGGATCCACATTCCAGGAAATCTGCACTTCAAGCGGGTTGGTCTTCTGCTGAAGTGTCATGTAGACGTCCTGTATCTGCAACAGCCCCTGCTTCAGGGTCTCCGTGAGAAGCAGCAGCTCAGCTCCACTGCTCTGACTCACAATAACCTTGGTAGTATCAACCATCTTCCTTGCCCATCTGCCAGCGTTGTCCACCTCCAGTTTCAATGCTGCATACTCATTCCCCATGTCAGTATAAGACTTGTGCAATTGGGCCACGGCCCTGTCTTTCTGTGCAATCACATTCTGTATGATTTCCTCAGCTGTGATTTCAACCTCATTGACGGCAGTCTGTTGTTTTTCAAGCACTTTTGCTTGATCTGTTTGCACCTTCTTCCAAAGGACAGTAAGATTCCGGAGAAGCTCTTGACCCTCTCCCAGAATGTTATGGGCAACCTCCCCTGCATCAGCTGAACCATCTTCCACACTGGCCAGTTCATGGTCTCTGTGGCCAATAAGTGCACACTGGACACAGATAGGTTTGCTGCAGGACTTGCAGTAGATGGAACACTCCTTGTCCTTGTGTTCAACACAGTACAGGTGCTTCTTATTGATGATCTCATTATCATACTGCCCACTTGCTACTTCCTGAAGGGGGACAACTCTGTGGTTTACTGTTGTCCTGGAAGCAAGATGGCCAGCAGAGCACAGATTGCAAAGGCTGTCCCCACAGTCAAGGCACTGGTGGCTTGCTGAGTTGCTGGATCCTCTTAATTTACACACAGAGCAGCTGTTGATTGAAAATGCATCCACTAGGCCATTCACATAGAAATTATCTTGGAGGGACTCAGGGTTTTTGTCTGTGATTTTGACTGGCCTTTGACATTCAGGACAGAGGATTAAATCAGTCTGAGATCCATGGATGAGTTTCTCAATGCACCCCTTGCAGCAGGTGTGGAGGCATGGAGATAAGATCTTTGGTGAGTCATAAATATTCAAACATATTTTGCAGGTTAAGAAGTCTTCTCGTAGATTTTGTGAAACTGATACATGTGCCATATTTTGTTTTCTGGTCGCTATGGTGTCTTCATGGGTTCATATGGAGGGAACACATCTGAAAAACAACACACTTTTACACAATCTGAATCTTTGTTAGTACCCACATGTACAGTCAGTACCTAGCATACAATCAGTACCTACAGAACAGTCAGTACCTATATGTACAGTCAGTACCTACATGTACAGTCAGTACCTATATGTACAGTCAGTACCTACATGTACAGTCAGTACCTACTTGTACAGTCAGTACCTATATGTACAGTCAGTACCTACATGTACAGTCAGTACCTATATGTACAGTCAGTACCTAGCATACAGTCAGTACCTACATAGATGTACAGTCAGTACCTAGCATACAGTCAGTACCTACATGTACAGTCAGTACCTACCATGTACAGTCAGTACCTACACATCAGTCAGTACCTACATGTACAGTCAGTACCTAGCATGTACAGTCAGTACCTACATGTACAGTCAGTACCTAGCATAGTCAGTACCTACATGTACAGTCAGTACCTACATGTACAGTCAGTACCTACATGTACAGTCAGTACCTAGCATACAGTCAGTACCTACAATCAGTACAGTCGGTAACACTACATGTACAGTCAGTACCTGTACAGTCAGTACCTAGCATACAGTCGGTACACACATACATGTATCTACATGTACAGTCAGTACCTACAGCATACAGTCAGTACCTACATGTACCTAGTGCGTACCACAGCATACATGTACAGTCAGTACCTACATGTACAGTCAGTACATAGTGATTACTCATGTACAGTCAGTACCTACATGTACAGTCAGTAACCTAGATACAGTCAGTACCTACATACAGTCAGTACCTACACATACAGTCAGTACCTACGAGTCATTACCTACATGTACAGTCAGCACCTACAGCATACAGTCAGTACCTACATGTAGTCAGTACCTAGCATGCAGTCAGTACCTACATGTACAGTCAGTACCTACATGTACAGTCAGTACCTACAGCATACAGTCAGTACCTACAACATGTCATTTGGTACCCGCATACCTAGTCAGTACCTACATGTACAGTCAGTACCTACATACAGTCAGTACCTACGTAGTGTACAGTCAGTACCTACATGTACAGTCAGTACCTACATACAGTACAGTACCTACATGTACAGTCAGTACCTCATGTACCATCAGTACCACAGCATACAGTCAGTACCTACATGTACAGTCAGTACCTACATACAGTCATCGCGTATTGAACGAGTAACTATACCAGTCAGTACCTACAGTACAGTCAGTACCTAGCATACAGTCAGTACCTACATGTACAGTCAGTACCTACAATCAGTACAGTCATGTACCTAGTACATTTTAGCCATACACAGTCAATACCTACATGTCAGCTTCCAGTACCTACACATGTACAGTCGAGTATAGCCTACATGCATACAGTTACAGTCATGTACAGTCACCTGTACCTACATGGCCCACACCTCAGTACACTCAGTCCTACAGTAACACTAGTACCTACATACCTACACATACAGTCAGTACACACTCAGTACGTATGTACAGTCAGTACTCAATTACCACTACCTACATGTAGTCTGCAGTGCCACTCAACCTTAGCATACAGTCAGTACCCACATGTACAGTCAGTACATACATAGTCAGTACCTTGCAAGTACAGTCACTACCTACACATACAGTCAGTACCTACTATTGGTACACTCAGTACCTACATGTGCACAGTCAGTACCTACATGTACAGTCAGTACCTACACATACAGTCAGTACCTACACAGTCAGTACACACATCAGTACCTGTACAGTCACCTACACTCAGTACCTACACATACAGTCAGTACCTCATTACACTAGCATACAGTCAGCTACCTACACATGTACAGTCAGTACCTACACACACAGTCAGTACCTACATGTACAGTCAGTACCTACATCTACAGTCAGTACCTCTACCTACATACAGTCAGTACCTACACCATGTACAGTCAGTACCTCTGTACCCACACATACAGTCAGTACCTACATGTACAGTCAGTACCTACACATACAGTACCAGTACCTACACAGTCAGTACAGTCAGCAGTACAGTCAGTACCTACACATACAGTCAGTACCTAAAGTACCTACACAGTCAGTACCTACAACGCAGTCAGTACCTACATGTACAGTCAGTACCTACACAGTACTTACAGTCAGTAATCACACATACAGTATGCATAATACAGTCAGTACCTACACTTACACTCAGTACCTACACATACACTCAGTACCTACACCCCATTGTACAGGAGTACACCCACTACAGTACCTCACTCAGTACCTACACTTATACAGTCAGTACCTACACACCTACACTACAGTCAGTACCTACACATACAGTCAGTACCTACACTTACACACTCAGTACCTACACTTACACTCAGTACCTACACTCAGTACACACATACAGTCAGTACCTACACTACAGTACAGTCAGTACCTACACATACAGTCAGTACCTACACTTACAGTCAGTACCTACACATACAGTCAGTACCTACACTTACAGTCAGTACCTACACATACAGTCAGTACCTACACTTACAGTCAGTACCTACACATACAGTCAGTACCTACACATACAGTCAGTACCTACACTTACAGTCAGTACCTACACTATGCAGTCAGTACCTACACTTACAGTCAGTACCTACACATACACTCAGTACCTACACTTACAGTCAGTACCTACACATACACTCAGTACCTACACTTACAGTCAGTACCTACACTTACAGTCAGTACCTACACTTACAGTCAGTACCTACACATACAGTCAGTACCTACACATACAGTCAGTACTCCTAGTACAGCATACAGTCAGTACCTACACTACATGTACAGTCAGTACCTACACATACAGTCAGTACCACCTACACACCTACACTTACAGTCAGTACCTACACCTACAGTCAGTACTCTACACATACACTCAGTACCTACACCTACAGTCAGTACCTACACATACAGTCAGTACCTACACTTACAGTCAGTACCTACACTTACACTCAGTACCTACACTTACAGTCAGTACCTACACACCTACACTCAGTAACCTACACTTACACTCCAGTTTACCCACACTTACAGTCAGTACCTACACCTCCAGTGAGGGACCTACACTTACACTCGAGTACCTACACTTACAGTCAGTACCTACACATAGTCAATACCTACACTTACAGTAAGTACTTACATACGTACAGTCAGTTACCTACACTTAAAGGTCAATACTCTACACTTACAGTAAGTACTTACACTCCTACAGTCAGTACCTACATGTACAGTCAGTACCTTACACATACAGTCAACAAGTACACATACACTTATAGTCAGTACCTACACAGTCACTCGAGTACCTACATGTACAGTCCCAGTACCTACACTTACAGTCCAGTCCATTCCTACACTTACAGTCAGTACCTACCACCAGTACAGTCCAGTACCTACACATACAGTCCACCTTCCACCCCACAGTCCATACCACCTGTCAATTACCTACCACTCCATTACAGTCAGTAATACCTTCACCTGATCATTTCCACAGTCCAGTACCTACACCGTACCTGGTCAGTACCATACTGTCCGTACAGTCAATACCCGGTACACTTACAGTCAGTACTCCAATACAGTCAGTAACCTCCGTACTACATACAGTGCAATACCGTTACCACATGGGGTACAGGTCAGGGTTTTCTTCCATTTCAATCAGTACAGTCCAGTATTCCATACACATACAGTCAATACCTACACTTACAGTCAGTACCTGTACACATACAGTCCATTCACCTTACAGTCATACAGTCCAGTACCTAATTGATCCATTTTCATTTTCATAGTCAATACCTACACTTTCACACAGTCCAGTACCTGACACAGTACAGTCAATACAGTACAGTGTCTTCAGTCCTCGTACCACTCCGGTCTCAGTGCAATGATCCATTTCAGTCCAGTGTTATGCCTCAGTGTCCTCAGTACTCTGACATAGTCACTTGTGGTCCTACGTGTCAGTATTGCAGGTCAGTCAGTTGTGTGGTCTCTGTGGTCATAAAGTCAATACTGTGTACCACTTAGTGCATGTGCAGTACCTACACATGGGATCGGGGTCGTGCCTGGGCAATACAGTGTCCGGTACCTCAGTCAGTGCCAGTCAGTACCTACACCGTTATTACAGTCAGTCTGATTCCGTTTCCACCTGGGGCCATTCCTCCGTACACTCCGTGCAGTCGTGTCCGTACCACTCGGTGTCAGTGTGCATGGTCGGTCCTGTGGTCCTCGGTCCGTTCTCCGTTACAGTCAGTACCACAGTCCATTCATACAGTGCCACTGGTCGGTCCACTCCGTGCCTGGTCCGTACAGTCCGGTGTGTGGTGCCCGGTACAGGTGTGTGGTCAGTCAGGTACTGGTCGTTACACATGTCCATTCGGTCAGTGCCACAGTCCGGTACCACGGTACAGTCCTTCCAGTGCAGTCGGTCCATGCCGGTCCGTCTTCCGATCCGTTCCTGGTCCGTTATTTTGGTCGGTCCTCCGGTGCCTCGGTCCTGGTCGGTCGCCTACACATACAGTTACATTCAGTACCTACACATACAGTCAGTACCTACACATAGTCAATACCTACACTTACAGTCAGTACCTACACATACAGTCAATACCTACACTTACAGTCAGTACCTACACTTAAGTCAGTACCTACACTTACAGTCAGTCAATCAATCAATCAGTCAATCTTTATTTAGAATATTGAAGAGGCCTATAGTACATTTTACATACAGTAGCAGAGGATGCAATATAAATGAATATATAGAAAATAATATCACATCTGTAATGCAGTGGACCTCATATTCATGGCATGGTATATATACATTGCAAGGTATTTTGTGGCTGTTTGATTTTGGGATGCCATGAGGGTATAGTATTTGTCTATTCGGGGGTTCAAGTAGAAATATTTCTTTATGTATTCTTTTCTGATATTTGCATTCAATGGACAAACAAGCAAGAAATGATATTTATCTTCTACCTCCTTATAAGTACAATATTTACACAATCGCTTTTCCCGTGGTATCCCTAAATGCCTACCTTTTTCTATTAGAAGATCATGGGAACTACATCTGAAACGGGCTAGTGCTGTTCTGAATTTCTTAACATTAATGAAGATATTTTTCTGTAAGAATGAATGATTTAAAACACAAGTAATGGTTTAACTTATTGTGTAAACATAGTGAAAAGTGCCACTTTTGAAAATACATATCTTTTAGCCTTTGTGTTAAATCATATATAAAATGCTCTGGTGCTGTTACATTTTGTTCTCTCCAGATATAATCATAGCCGCAAGACTGAAGTATCTTTCTGACACCAGAGGTCCAGTTATTTTTACCTCTGTCATCGTAAAGCATCATCATGTTATAACATTTTTGGGGGAATCTGGTGCTTGGCATTTTAAGTAATCTTATCCAATATTTTATTACTTTTATGTAACTAAATATTTACATAGGGTATCTCCCACATTCCCCATAAACAGTATTGTATGGTCAAACATGGACAGGGCGATTGACAATCAAACCCACATGCATAGGTATTGTGTGGTCAAACATGGACAGGGCGATTGACAATCAAACCCACATGCATAGGTATTGTGTGGTCAAACATAGACAGGGCAATTGACATTCAAACCCACATGCATAGGTATTGTGTGGTCAAACATAGACAGGGCGATCGAGATTCAAACCCACATGCACAGTATTGTGTGGTCAAACATAGACAGGGCGACTGACATCCAAACCCACATGCATAGGTATTGTGTGGTCAAACATAGACAGGGTGATCGAGATTAAATCCCACATGCACAGCCATTGTGTGGTCAAACATAGACAGGGCGATCAAGATTCAATCCCACATGCATAGGTATTGTGTGGTCAAACATAGACAGGGCGATCAAGATTCAATCCCACATGCATAGGTATTGTGTGGTCAAACATAGACAGGGCGATCGAGATTCAAACCCACATGCCTCTATAGGTATTGTGTGGTCAAACATAGACAGGGCGATCAAGATTTAAACTCACATGCACAGTATTGTGTGGTCAAACATAGACAGGACGATCGAGATTCAAACCCACATGCATTGGTATTGTGTGGTCAAACAGACAGGGTGATCGAGATTCAAACCAACATGCATAGGTATTGTGTGGTCAAACAGACAGGGTGAAGACAATGTTTATTAGACTGAGGGCGATCGAGATTCAAACCTACAACTCTGGTGAGTCAGTGGGTTAAGATATTAAGTCACATGGGCAGTATTCCAGCCATATCGTGACACAACTCTGCCCAACAAAGTACAGAACCTGACACTGTACACTTTATTTACATATATGAAAAAGGGTTATGTGAGAGAGTCACTAGTACAATACATTTATGAATAACACTGGGGGGATGTATCTAGATCTGCTTAGACACTGTTGTTCTGCTCAAGTCTTAAAAATGTCAGTACAAATACCAACTTTTTTCCCCATTTTATGCAGATACAGTTAATACTACTCACTGGGGCTTGTAAAGCAAAACCGTGACTCCAGCGTCTATAAATTCTCCCTGATGGTTGCGATTTGGTAGCCCATATAGTGGTTAAATGGTTCGTTCGTCATGCCGAAGACTGGGTTCGATTCCCCACATGGGTATAATATGTGAAGCCCATTTTTGGTGTCCCCCGCCGGGGATTGCTGGAATATTGCTAAAAGCGGTGTAAAACCATACTCACTCACTAAGCACTTTGATTTCAGGGAATAAAAAAAGCTTCTCAGTTCATGTTCATATAGTTATAACTTGTGTAATGTCCTATAGTCAACTTGAATGCTTTATTTTCATTATTGGATAAATATCAGTGTTACAAGATATCATGTTTAAATGACTCTAAAACTAAGGCTTCAAAATTTAAGAACATGAAAGAATTATACCAACTGTGAAATAACTAACAATAGTCTCCCTAAATGATTATCTAGGGCTCCTTTGGAATCTCAGATTAATGTCTGCGTCACAACAACCGCGTGTCTGAGGCCGTCATGAGATGTCAGAGATGTTACTGTCGCTTCTTGATGTATACAAACTTAGCAAGCGTAAATATACCATAATTAGAAACCTTTCAAGGGAGGTAACTCTGGCAGTCCTGGTAAAGTGGATGGGACGACGTGTTATCAACAAATGCCGACCTGCAGACGAAGACATATGCCATTGAAACCCCAAACTATAGTGTTAGCACTTTTCAGACAATAACTGATATTAATTAATTGTCAATTTAACGTATAAAGTAGAACTTGTCATAACGAAAGTAGGGTATGGCTGGGCGGGTGCAGTGTGTAGCCTGTGTAGGTGGTATCACGATGATATTGTGCTTGATCGACAATATATGAAACGACGCTGTGTTTGATAAACTAAATTTGTCACACCTATTTAAGTCAATACGTGTTGACAATGCATACGTTACTTTCGGTGTATCCGTTTAAACTCATCCATTGAAGCTCACTTTGATTAATTTACCTTCTTCGCGGACACAGAGGCACTTGTGGTTGTTGTGCTTCATCACGTGACAATGTCTCTTCCTGTTTTGATTGCGCAAGCTCGCGCTGTTGACAGTGAGTGAGTTAAAGGGGTACTGATCCCCCTCTGATGTTTCGCGCCAACAATCTAATTACGTCAGGTGGTCAGTTCCAGCTCCCTCGACCGTGACGGACACGGTGACTAGGCAACTGTCCATCTTGGCAGATTTTATTCAACCTAAAAAATGACACAATAAGAAAGTTATTTCGTTACTTGAAATATCCCCGGTAGTTCTAGTCTGATTGTAATCAGCAGAGACCATATAATGGATCTATTTTATGATCTCTGTAATCAGGTATTTCAGCAGTGTAGGCTTTTCGGATTTTCTGTTGCGTTGATGGTATGATGACTGGTTCAGTTTGATCTCTTTTCTGTGTTTTGGACCTCGATATTTACTCTGCTGATGGCATGTTGCCGTTGATTTCTGGAATTCTTATTATGCACTGACGAGTGTTGTGTCTTTTCAATCAATCGGTGTGCTATAACATTGTGTCCCAATGTTCTAAAGCGTAATCCCACATATAACGTTTGTTATATTCGATCATTTTCTGAATGACATCGCGCATTCATAGTTTTGGTCTTTGGGAGGCACGCCACATATCTGAAGTTTACACTACGTATCAGATTAAGACCACTCGGTGTACAGTTAGTTACAATTGTTACTCGGTGTACAGTTAGGTAATTACGTTGCCCACACCAATGATTGCCAGTTACCGGAGAAAAACAGTTATCGTGTCAGCCGAAGTCCTCTGGACGTAAAATCATTTTCCTTATGATTTCAGTATTTATTAGGGAAAATATTTTTTCGATAAAATACCAGCCATGGTACAATGGACAACCATATACAACACACCTGTAGAATCTGCTTCTACCACCTGAGAAGTATTGATTGACAGATTAGACATTTGTTGACTCAGGAAGCCACTAGCCAGTTAGTCAGGTCTCTGATTCTGTCCAGGATTGACTATGGCAACAGTTTGCTTATCAACATAAGGCAAGATCTACTCATGAAGCTTCAGAGAGTACAAAATGCCTCAGCTCGGCTAATTCATCGCTGCAAGAAAACATCCAATGTAACACCAATATTGATGAATCTCCACTGGCTCCCAGTACAAGCTAGAATCGAGTTCAAAGTGTTATCCCTGACCTACAGCTGTTACCATGATGTTGCACCAGGATATCTGAAAGAACTTCTCCAGAAATATACTTCATGCAAAAACCTGAGATCCAATGATCAACTTTTATTTACCATCCCCAGGACCAATCTCAAATCCTTCGGCCAGAGATCATTCTCATTCTGTGCTCCTTCTCTCTGGAACTGTCTTCCTTTTGATATCAAAACCTCCCCATCTTTAGCTGTCTTCAAGTCCAAACTTAAAACCCATCTCTTCTCCAAGTTCTATCCTTGATACCTGCGCTTTGAGCAACCGCAACGGATGGAAAATAGCGCAATATAAATGCACTTATTATTATTATTATTATTATACCTGTACACAGTATTCATTTCAGTGAACAGACAAATACATTTAGGAAGTGGTCCAATGTAGCATATGTTATACATACATGTATTTGGTAAAGCACAGATTCCAATACGTTTTCGTTTTCAAGAGTCCTATTCGGGACTCTAACCCACACTGTTTATAGTTTGACGCCAGGAAGCTGCCGTGGCTAAGTGGGTTAGATCGCTGACTTTCTGTGATGACGATTAGGTGTGTTATTCTGACAGAATGGGTTCAAATCCCGGATGGGAAAGTGGCTCTGAATGAGTTTATAGCTGCTTTCAACAGTATTTCAGCTATATAGCATGGCGTGTCTGTTTGTAGAAAGCCCGACATGATGAGGGACGCAGACATACCCACTGTAGTGAAAAAAACGGGCACGGCGACAAGTTAGTAGGGCTGGGACAGGTAGGAAAAACTGGAATCGAGTACCCGCATGTACTTACCCGAATCGGAATCGAGTACCCGGAAATGTAAGGAATACATAGCTTCAGTCAACTTTCTGAATATTCAATCACGATTTGACAGACATTATAACAGAAAACCTCAAAGGATGGGAATGAGACATTGAAACTGATCTTAGGCTATTTGATTTACGCCTGTTTATAAATAATATAAAGAGTAACACCATTACTTACATTGTTACTTAAAACACAGAACATTTGTTAAACCACAGAACTTTTCATTCCCGCTGTTACTGTGACTTGACTACTCACTGCTCATGCGCAGATAAATTACCGTCGTTGATAATAACCTTCATTAACTGGACAATGCCAAAAATGTGTGTTACGTTAATAATGAAAAAGACCAGTTATTCATTCAGCCAGTAGACAACTACGTTCATGTGTGATATTCTAACTGAACCTATAATGGTTTACATGCAGACTTTATGTAAACTTGCATAGAATACAATTTGATTGATGTATTTACTGACTGGAGAATTCTGTACGAGATATACAGACAGGCAAACTGTAATGCAATTGAGTTAAGCAATATAGCAAAATGCTTGAAATCGCTTCTGGGAAGACCGGTCATTTTGCTCTGTTGCGCAACTCAGTTGCATTAGTTTCCCTATTAAATGAAAAACAAAACTATTGTTAAATCGATATTCTAAAATTGTATCTATCTTCATTGGAATAACTGTATGCTGATTATTATTTGTTAAAGGTCACATGCAACCAAAAAATCCAAGATAATTAAAACACAATTATCACTTATTCATGACATATAATATACATTGCTGGTTATTAAAAACATATAGACAAAATTGTAAGCTTACAATCGCAAATCAAAAGTGCAATATTGTGTACTTGGGTTTACTTCCCAAGAAACGAAGCAGCCGGGATACCGAACGGTTTATGCCCGGACTGTCGACAACAAGAAATAATCCGTCCAAATTACTTGTCGACAGTCCGGGAAAAGGGAGGTGATGTTCTACATGAGTGACTTCACTCCCAGTGTTCTCGAAATTAACAAACCAATTAAAACAGAGTGTGATATATATAGTAGACAATATATTTATTCAGTCAATATAACAACATGCATGTATCATGCATCTATCATATGTCACACAATATAACATATTTGTATATATATTTCATAAAGCTCACACAATATATTTGTGTGTGTGTTTTATATAAATAAGTGATTTCTGCAGGTGTATAAGTAATAAATATATAAAAGATGAGTCCAGTTATTTCTTCTTGCCAAAACTCCTTTATATGTGCACTAAAGTAATCTGAATGTTCAGCCAAGATGAAGCAACTCTGACACGTGGTCTGTGTAATTTAAGTCAGTAAGTCTGTCGGCAAGAAGGTCGGCCTTCAAGGATCGAATCCTAGCGTCGATGATTCGGTAGCGACGTCTACGGACGGGATCTCTCTGCTGTCCTTGGATCTGCTGAAATTTTACTTCAGTAGATGACTGTTCTTTTTGTAGCATTCGCACAACCTCAAATACATTCGGATGTGTCTTCATGGCATACTTGTTGATTTTGTTGTGCCAACCTTCCAAATTATTGTTAGTTCTGTGTCTATCATTTTCATAATGATTCCAAGTTGGTAATGGTAATCCTTCCACTCGCATAACGTAAAATAATAGTCTGTTTTTGCAACCTTAAGTCTCTTGCAAATTGTTAAAAAGACATTCTCTTTAATCAACTTAATTCATTTACTCATGATACGAGCATAGCTGTAGCCACCATAGCCACTTGCAAACCACTAAGCAAACATTCTCTTTCATTAATTAACACCGTCACGGTATGTTGACCACGCGATGTCGACACTCCGGGTTTTTGTTTTGTCGACGCACAGGACCAAAAGCCGGATAGTAAACCATTGAAATAAACGTAAATACAGTAGGAAATACATGCCATGACCGGATTTACGTATGTTTTCAGATATTTCCTAACTTCGGGCATATATTTCATATGAATCTATACCTTTGAAACATATGCTCATCGTACATTTTCGTATGCACAAGTACCTCGTTCATGTATGCCATGACCGGATTGTCAGGTATTTCCAAACATGAATTGCAAAACAGATACCCCAGTAAATACATGATCATACAGTATTTCCGATGCATTC